CCAGATTCTCAAAGGTGCCTAACTCCCATGACCTAAATGCCTTTGAGAATCTGGGCTTGGGTTACCAAAGATAGTCTGGTGACAAAGCAATGACCAGCCATTTTTACCAAAATAGAAATTAGCAACCACTGTTTCTATTTATGGCAAGCCACAGTGATATGACAATGGAAAGCAGGCTAAGGGGAACATGCACACTGCTTAGCTTTGAAAATAAAATCCACGCCAACCCAGTAAACCCAGTATCTTTTCAAAAGATAAAAAGCTAAGTAATAAGATATCAAGAAGATTGAATATATATCTAATATAAAAACCTCTATATCAGAATTCCTTGGCTCCAACTTTCGGGCTCTCCAGCCTATCTTCTATTACACCATTAAGGAGTTTTCCACTCCTTTTTTAAAAATATCACAGAGCATTGTACCAAACATCCCCCCCACACACACACACACCAACATGCACACTCCTCCAACACACCATTGCACCATCCACATCTCACACACCTTTGCACCATCAACACACCAGCACGCTCACAACACACCAACATGTTTTAGATGTTGTTCGAAAATATGTGCTCTAGGAATTATTTTGGGAAAGTTCTAGAGCCTGTGTCATACAGGCGGTCAGACTAGATGATCACAATGGTCCCTTCTGGCCTTGGAATCTATGAATACACATCACACAATCCACCCACAAAAGGCCATCTGTATAAGATTTTTCCACCTTTCTGCCCAGCAAACACTGGAGTAAGCCCCACCGCTATCTCCTCCGTAATCCCTGCACTCACACTCCCCTTTTCAAGACACACCTCATTCTAGCCGTTCACCTCTGTCCTCCCCTTCGAAATGAGATGGAAAAGTTTCATTTTGTTTACTTCTGAATTGCACTTTTCATTTTATTTTAGTTTTTGGCCACTGAAATAATACACTTGTTTTCAGACTTTCCCTCCTTCTTCACGGGAAGAGGTGAGAAAAACAATTAAATACAAAAACAACCCCATACGTTCCCCTTCTCTCTTTTTCCTCAAAAGTAAACTTTTTTAAAATTTGAGACTGCACGGTCTCCCACCCACTTTCTTTCTTGTTCCTTTGCCACTGACTGAAACAGAATGAATGCCAAGATTTTGTTTAGAGGGGTTGTGGGTTTTTTTTTTCCTTTTTTCCCTTTTTTTCCCTTTTGACACACCTTTTCCAAACTCCCTCATAGCTCCAATTCTACAAACACGTATGAATGTGCTTAACTTTACTACTCTGAGTAGTTCCATTGAAATCATTGGATTACTCCCACTAGTAAAGTTAAGCATGTGAAAGATGTTTGCAGAATCAAAGTTGAAATTCAGAAAAGTGGCAACAAGAAAAATGAAACAACACCTCTTTGTAACTTTTCACTTTTTCTTCTGCCATGCCATAATTTTTGCAAAAGTTTGAGACGTTTTGAAAAGTAATGGATTGGCAAAAGGAAAAAGGAAGGGGAGGGGGCTAAAAGGAACATACACACACCCCAGCTCTCCTCGGATATTATTTAGTTTCTTGCACTCAGTGACAAGATAAGTGAGAGAAACCCTACAACAACCAGAAATTTTGAAAGTCTATATAATAAGATTGTTATGCCGGAGCCTGCTCTGAGTCAGTGTGAAGCAATGGAAACAGCTGCAATCATGGCTGAGAGCACTTTGTTCAGAATATCACCAGGATGAATAAACACTGTACTGTGCAATCTGTTAATATCTCATTTTTAAGTTCTCAGCCATTTTGACTTTACAAATCACACTTGTGCAGTGTACAGCTACAGTATGGAATGTCTGTGCCATGCCAAGAGACCTAGACCATTGTGATATCAGGGTGATACAACCAATCACCACCCTTATTCTACAAGCTAGTTTGCATGCAGCAATTTCATTGGTTGTATGAGGGAGACTGCACTGAAGGTGGACCAACTGCCCAACCTGTGTGCCCAACTGTCACGTGCACAAAATACAAATCTCCCAGCTCAACTCTTTCTACATACAAATCAACACAACTAACACACACAGCCCCTCACCACAGCATACACCCTTCATTTATTACCTGCACAAACTAACAACTGTCCCAACACAACACACACAGTTTCCCACTCTCACTCATACTTACCATAAACTTGAGATGCAAAACTGCAGGTCCATTTCTAGCTCAAAATGAGATTTTTTGGGAAAACTGGTCTATTTCTAACCTTGATCGAGATCAGTTGAAGGAATAGTGTGAAAAAGATCAGGACTGAATGAACATGGGGAATGAATTCTTCATTTACCTCAGTAGAGAATGAATGAAGATGAATTATTCTGAAAAAAATCTTTGGAAAGAAGTCTGAAGAAAACTTCTATGTAAGTCTTCCACACCGATTTGGCCTAGGTGCCAAGTGAAGCTGACAGGTAGTTTGGAGGTTTTTCCCCCATCTCATCTTTCAAATTCTCAAACCATGAAATCTTGTACCTTCTAGCGATCCATTACCAGCCTATGGGGTACATTAAGCATGGTGAGCAGAGCATGATTCTACTCTGAAAAGTGACTTTGACTCTCAAGGTACATCTACACTGTAATAAAAGTCCCACAGCATGTCTGCAGCTGGGCCAGCTCAGCTGACTTGGGCTCATGGGAGGGATGGGTCTCAGAGCCCAGACCCTGAATGTCTACACTGCTATTTGTAGCCCTGCAAGCTCAAGTCAATTTAGCTGGGCTCTGTGACTGGGTACTGTTTTTTTTATTGCAGTGTAGACATAACTTCAGTGATTCCCTGTCAAATGTGCTCAGTTTACAGGAAAAAAAGGCAGAACTGCTGAATAAGGTGCCACTTTTATATAGTCTACTTCAGGAATCGGCAACTGTAGCGAGGCTCCCTGCTGCCCCGGAGGGGGATGAGCCTCTCTGGATGCCAAAGTGGGCGGTGCCAGCAAACCCTGCGCCCGCCCCTCAGAGGTCAAGGCGCAGGACAGGAAGTATAAAAGCCCGACTCCAGAGCTCACTTGTCTCTCAGCCACCGGAGTGACCAGACGCTTGTGGCGTAGCTCCTGGTGGGGAGACCACCGCGATTGGTGGCCGACCCGAAGACTGGCCAGACCAGCCAACGCCTGATACTAGCCCAAGCCCAGAGAGGCTGCCGAGCCTACCGCTCGCCCATTACCCCAAGGAACTGCCAGACCTACCGTGTGCCAGTTACCCCGAGGAGCTGCCAAACCAACCGCTTGCCAGCTATCCTGAGGAGCCTATGGGGTGTGACTCCGCGGAGGATGCCGTCCAGACCCAGGTACCTCTAGAGGGGGAGATAGGAAGTAGTCCGGGGGCAGCTGACCCGAGTCTGGCGGCAACACTGCCAGAGCCAATGTCAGTGTGTTGTGGTCAGGATCCCCACTGACACAGCAGTGGGTTTTCTGCCGCTGCTAGGGCCCTGGGCTGGGACACAGTGGGGTGGGTGGGCCTGCATCCCCCTGCCACCCACCTCACGGGTGGCAGTCTCCCCCTCTCCCGGGCTGCTCAGAGCCAGGAGCCTGGGGTTTGCTGTTCTGACTGTTTGTTTGTTGCCCCGCCCTGACCCAGGGCCTGGGCTTGCTAATATTGAACTGTTTGCTCAGCCCCTGCCAGAGGGCCGGAGCTGCTGACTGTTTACCGCACAGCCGAGCTAATTCCCTGACACACCTGATCAAAGTAGTGAGGCAGTCTGGCTCCCCGCCGCCCTGTAGGGGAACGAGCCCCGGCCAACCAGCCTACAGCAATCTTTGGAACGCGGCCCGTCAGGGAAATCCACTGGCGAGCTGGGATGGTTTGTTTACCTGCAGCATCTGCAGATTCGGCCAATCGCAGCTCCCACTGGCCGCGGGTCACCATTCCAGGTCAATGGGGGCTGCGGGAAGTGGTGGCCAGCACATCCCTCAGCCTGCGCCGCTTCCCGCAGCCCCCATTGTTCTGTAAGTGACTTTCTTCTAGAACAAAGTGTTCGGGTGAGAGAGGGGAAGCAGGGAGAGAAGAGAACATCTTCCCTCCAGGTATCTCTTGTCTCCTGATCAATCCTTATCTCTTACACACAAAAAATGACCTTATTTTCATGGGTTCTGTTTTGAGGGTGGCTGTATGTCACAAACACATGGCTATGAGACTCCAAATTTGTATTATAAACTCTACCCTGGGTCTTGAATGAGCATTTCAAATCTCAAGCAGATCATTGTATCTTTGTTTGGAGGGAGGACTAAAAATTCAGTTTTAAGCAGAAACCATGTTGTATCCTAAGTTCTGATACTCTTAATACTGCCTCATGATCCCACCTGAGAACCACTGACCTGGAGGATACATACCTTTCATTCCTGGCTTTCGGCTTCTGGATCCTCATTTAACTGTATCTACATAGGAAAGCAATGAAAATGTAAAAATGTTTGAAATTTGTTCAGCTATGTTAGCTATCACCTCAAGTGTCCCTTTAACCGTGCTTGCTGGCTGGTCAGTTCTGCAGCTCTGGCCATCCAAGGATTGTTATAGCTAGAATAAGAATAAATAAAATTTGTCATCATGATACACATTATGGCCTTTACATGAACACAAATTAAAACCATGCACTAAAGACACCATAAATAGCTCCCATTCCACCAGTTTGTGGTGTTCATGCAGCATCCCGCATCAGAAAGCTGCCCTGAAGTGGCAGGTGGGGCTTCCTCTGATGTAGAAGAATCCTCAGGTGTTTTAAAAGATGGGATGGCGAGTTCTATGCCACCTGATCAACCTAAGGAGATGAAAATGGCAGGAGGGGATGGGGCTGGCAGAGTGGGCTGTAAGGCATCAGCGCCAGATTAAGTCAATCCAGGTCCCTGTGGAGCCCCACCATGCCACTAACTGATTATTCATCTAGACAAGTCCACAGGTCTATTGTTATAGGCTCTCTGCAAACTCAGGCAGGCTTCACTGTATCAGTTACACTAGGCTCATGTTTCAAGCTCTTCTTCACAACCATGAGGGATAGAAACCTGTTTTTAAAAAAACTGCCAAGATACTGATGTTATCAGGTGTCTTCAGGATTCATAATAGCCATGCTGAGCTCTAGTCTGAGAGGAAAGAGTATACCTCAGTATAATACATTGTAATAATTTGAGATTGCTACCTGTTGACTTGATAATAATAGTTTGAAATGTATTTAGCCCAAGCCAGGATTCAGTTAATACCTCTCCAACAGGAAGCAATCTCAAGCTATAAACGTCTAGGTAAATGGAACTTGCAATGCATCCAATACCTCAGCTATCCTTTTGACATTTAATCAATCACAAATGCTGACACCGTAAGCATTATTTCTTAATTCAATTACTTGTTCATTCTTTGCTTTGGATTATATTTATATTGCTGTGTTAGTTTAAAAGATAAAACTACTTCTGAGTTCATATTATTAAAAAATAATATGATACCCTTTAATTCATGGTTTTAAAATCCTTTAGCTTAATTTTGTCACTAACAATATCACAGGAAGGCAACAGTTTGGTGGCAAATCAAATTAATCTCTTTCTGATTATGCAATATGATTTTTTGTGTGCTAATTGCTCTCCTGTGCTGCACCTTTGATTTCTTCACACCTTACCTCCAGGCCTGGACAACAAAGGGACATCTTCCAGGAGCTTAGGCACGACACCTCCTCAGACAGCAGAGGGAACGGGAGCTCTTGATGAGAGCAGCTCCAGGAAGAAAACAGGTGCTGCCAGAACTAGCATTGGTGTTTCTGTATGGGATACAATTCCTTCCAAGACAAAGAGGCTATTGCTGAGTTGCAGGGGGCTGTGCAAGAAATCGAGTATTGCCACCTCTACAATCTAGCCTGATGTCAGAACTGCACTGATGGCCAAGCATGGTGTTGGAGGCATTGTGTTCCTAGATGCATTGTCATCCAGAGCAGATGCAAAATTCACAACTCCTCTCTGCCAGGTCATGAAAAATGGAAAGAGTGCCACTGGAAAAGCAGCAGAGCTGATCCCACCGTCCTGGCTACAGTCCATCTTATTTCATTACATTTTGCTTCCAGAAATTCTCAGCTTTTCAATTCCATGTGAAATTCTTCTCTTCCTGGCCTAAAAAGATGTGGTGTTTTACTGTTAAATGTTAAACAATAGTCCTGTGTGTTGGTGTATATTTACACAAGCAGTTGTAAAGTGTTTTGAAGTACTGGAAGCTCAAAAAAGTTCTGGCTGAATTGAGGGATCTCTCAGTTTTTGTGGTACTATGGAGAACCAATGAGAATATTTTCAAAGTCCAATGAAAAGGTTTTCTGGGGCACTGCATCCTTACTTCTACAGGTTCTCTTTTTTGCTGATTCTTTTCTTGGCTTTTTTTCTTCCTGTGATCTAGAAAGCATAGACAGATTAACCCCGCCTTAGTGCTTTATATAAACATCAAACCCAGTAGAAGGAAAAGATGTTACATCGAGAAAGTCACTGGAGCCTCTGTGGTATGAAAGTGAAACTAGAACCCTTCAGAAAATGGGGTTTTAGAGTGGTTCACTGATCCAAATTCCAAAAGACTATCGTCTTGCCGCAATACTAGAGAAAACAGGAAGATTTGCAAAACATTTTTGTAAAGAAGAGGTATGGCTGAAGTAATTAGTTTTTGGCATTTTGGTGTCATCAAAGTCATACCTGCCTGTGTCTCCTTTATTATTTCCCTGGTCCAATAAAATGAAATCTATATGCTTTGAAGCTAGAGGATTTATATCATCATACACACATGTATCAGCAGCTCTGGCAATAAAATCATTTTCTGCTAGAAGGGATCCGACCCTTCCCATCACAACAGGATCAACGTCAATCGCTCTGAAAGGAAATTATAACCAACAGCACCGGCGCACCATGTAATTGTCACCAATCTCTTTTTTCCCCTTCGCTGTTGCCTCTCTTTGCCCATCAGCTGGCTCTTCCCACAGTGATCCAGTGTTCCCCTCAGTTCTTTCTCTCCCAGAATTGCTTTGTAATTACTGGCTTAATCTCCCTCATACTGTGGCCTCTTCCTGGGGGTGAAATGTGATGCTTTAGGACTGGAAAGCAGCTGTACTGGCCTCCTATCCCTGCCTGCTGTGCTGCACTGAGACATGGGGGAGTGAGGGTGTAAGCAGAAGGAGCCATGAGGAGGGAAGGAGAAGGAGAAAGCCTGGACTGCCAGCTCTGGGAATAGTTGGGAGTTAGAGCTAAAGGGCGTAAGTGGGAAATCAGTGACACATAGACCCTGGTGCTAGTTCTCTGCATGGGGTGAATCTCAGTTTAAGGGAGGCCTGAGGTATGTTTTTTATAATTTATATAATTTTTATATTTATAATTTTAACCCCAAAGAAGATTCCAAGTTAAAGGGATATTTGCCATCCCAGCTCTCACTAAATGATGGTAGATGGGCTGTATATTTCATCTACTTCCCCTTGCCTTCTAATTTACTTTATAAAGTTATCCTTTTTCTTTATAACTCCTGTGGGAAATAAGGAATATTTAAAATGGATGGTGCAATATGCTCTAACAGTGATATTTCTTTTAAAAGGCTTTAAAATATGCATGAAATGAGCAGGGTTGATACTTACACCACACAAAGGGCGCTAGAAGAATAAGGAGAGAAATTGCAGCAGTGATAAGGATGGCAGCTGTGTTGTCAAAAAATGGTGAGCAGCCTTTTCCTGGAGGTCAAAAGAAGAAAGGAATGAAATACCATGTCACTAGTTTATTTGCTCAGGGGAATTTCCGCAGCTGGGATTCTGAGTTTCACAAGGGCCGGGGCTCAGGCGCTTGTAAAAGCCCTGCAGCTGGCAGAGAAGAATTCTCCTGATGCAGTAGTGCAGGGATCGGCAACCTTTGGCACGCGGCTCACCAGGGTAAGCACCCTGAAGGGGCCGGGCCGGTTTGTTTACCTGCCGCGTCCGCAGGTTTGGCCGATCGCGGCTCCCACTGGCTGTGGTTCACTGCTCCAGGTCAATGGGGGCTGTGGGAAGCGGTGCAGGCCAAGGGATGTGCTGGCTGCAGCTTCTCGCAGCCCCCATTGGCCTGGAGTGGCGAACCGCGGCCAGTGGGAGCCGCAATCGGCCGAACCTGCGGACGGGGCAGGTAAACAAACCGGCCCGGCCCGCCTGGGTGCTTAGTGCATATGTAACACCAACAGACCCCAGTCATTGGGAATCAAACCAGGGACCTCTGGAGCTTAGTGTATGAGCCTCTACCGCATGAGCTAAAAGCCACCTGGCTTTAGCTCTCTCTAAGTGGTTTTGGTGCTACTAGATGGGACAGAACACCACACCCTCTTTGCAAGCCCTGGTGTAGAAGGCTGGCCGGGAACCAGGCTAGACATGGGGAGGACATGCTGTGCCCAAAGGTCCCTGTAGTATTTAGTGCTATGGAGATTCTCAGCTGCCGTGGGCTGTGGGGGGAACTTGAAATCTTTATTTTGCACCAAATATAAATAAGTTCCCTTTTTAAAAAAAATGCATCTTTGCAGGAAAACACACGGTATAAATTTTAATCCATGAAGGATGGGGGCTTACTTTGGAGATGCTGGATGTTCTGTGTAAGGAAGATCGCAAACAACACAACTAGAATCACTCCCCCAAGAGCTGCAGTATCCAGAATGACACGGTACACTTGGAAAGAGAAAAGAAATAATAAAATGCTGCCATATTTGATTGACACAATTGAACATAGATGGAGATTGTTTTTTTTTTTCTTCTCTTTGTATGTAAGATCATTCCTGCTTCCTGTACAATTGCAAAAGCCTTTGAAACCTGATTCTTGAGGTGACCCATGGTGAATCTCAGCTCGCTCATGAGACTTCGGTGCAGCAAGTAGCAACAGGAGTCAACAGGTCTGCAATAGTTTATTGAGTTTTGTAACATGTTATGTGATGTTAAGCTCTCTGTACATATGTTTTCTTTGTTTAACATTTTAAGGCAAAGCAGGTATGGGCAAACGTTAAGGCAAAGTATCAGCCAGCAAGGGGTAAAGGTACAAAGTGCATTTAATCTGCTGCCAAATGCTAGCAGCTGCTCAGGAGGTGTGGGGCCTTGCCCGCATCACAGTCCTGCTGGCTATGGAATTCTGCAGGCATGCTAGCCAACTGCACAGTTTCTTGCTGGGTCAGTATTGTGTCTGGCTCCTTGAAAGATGAGGGGTAAGGGGTGGTGATTTTCCTTGTACATTCTTCTCCCTCTAGCCACACACACGGGCAGCCAAAACTTTGCCCTCAACATATAGGATACGTCTACATTCTGAGCTGGGGGTGTGATTCCCAGCTTGAGGAGACAGACCTGCATTAGCTCTCATTGCGCTACTGTGCCAAAAGTAGCAGTGCAGCCATGGGAGAGGCAAGTCGGCCTGAGTATGTACCTAGCGTCTCTTACGGGCACGTAGAAGTCTTTTACCTTCCACAAGTAGGGCATAGTGTTAAGCTCATATGAGGACAATTAGAATTGGAAAAAACAGGCCTAAGGCCACTAACTGGGGAAGTCTAGTTGTCACGCTTCATACCAACTGTGCCAACAAAGCTCAGCATTTCAAGAAATGTATTGTGTAACCAATGATAATTGCTACAATACATTACAGCTACACCACTCACTCTGAGAATCATAGACATGTAGGGCTGGAAGAAGCCTTGAGATCCTCTTGTCCATCTGCCTGTACTGAGGCAGGAATAATTGTACATAGGCCATCGCTGACAGATGTTTGTCTAATCTTCTCTTAAATGTCACACATATATAGGTACGTGTACAAATAACCTATTACTTACTTGTTTTCTTTTTAAACATCTCAAGGTGTTGGGGACAAATTGCCAAGACCACACTTATGAGAAGCGTTACCATGATCACCCACGTGAGGAAGATCATATACAATACAAGGGCTGTGGAGAGACCTGTGGAGAAATAGGGAATGAAACTAGAATTGCTGTACCTACAATTAGGCTCTGGTTCTGCAAATCACTCTGCCTGGGCAAACTCCTGCAACCACAAGGTGTCCCTTTGGAGGTCTGCCAAGATGGAGTAAGTAGCAGGATTGGGTCTTAGTTAAGATGACAGAAGGGCTGTTTTGGTTAATTCTGTTTCACTGTGGTTTAATAACTGCCAGCCAAAACATGTTAAGCTGGAGTTAAGGATGAGAATATGTATCAATAATAAACATCCCATCCTCAAAAGCTTTATAGACCCAAGAGATTCCTACTTAAGGCTAGATGTAAAAACAACCAAACACGATAGAGTGTGGAAACATATAGTTAAAGCACCCAAACAACCTTAATTCCACCCTGCAGGGATGCCACAAGGGAAAAAAAGTTATGGAAAAAACATTAATCTATTGTTAAAAATCTGTTTAAGCTAATAAGGGACTGCCAGAACCAAAGTTTCTTGTTATTAATTGTGTGGCATGACCACAGTGCAGGTTTAAGGAATGGGGGTCCCAAGCGGGTGAGGTGGTATGGAAGGGGTCAATGAGATCCCAGTTTACAAAAGGACTTAGGCACATATTTAGCTTTAAATACAAGTTAAAGTCCTGATTACTTCAGTGGGATTTAAGCACATGTTTGAAGGTGTGTTTAAGTGCTGACCAGAATATTGGTACTGTCCTGCTTTGAGGCCAGAACGGCAATATGGGAAGAGCTGGACATGATTTTCTTTCTTTCTCTTCCTTCCTTCCGGTTTTATAATAAAATTGGAGACCTGGGCACTTATCCTAGGGGCACCTCTCTCAACCCCGGCGGGGAAGACAGGTTTACTTACTAGTGGCTCTTTGACTCCATTTTAGGGCCCCTCCCATGTCCTACGAGTGCTGTGATTTATACCCTCATGTAGCCCCATCTAGCTTAGGGAAACAGCTTGGAAAAGTTTGGATCATTGGCTGTAGTAAGATAAAGGAGGAGCCTGGGGATGAAAAAGTGGTTGCCATCTTCTGGGAGTAAGTGCTGGTTAGAGCTTTAATTTGTATGGAGCTTTAATTTCAAATCTCCCATCTCGGATATGTACAGTGGCCTCCTGCCTTTTCTCCCCTTTTGCTGATTTTATGATTCTATAGTCCATATAACCCATGCTATAGTGACAGGGTGACATCCTGCCTCTGAATCTTCCAGGTATGAAATTAATAAGGTGCTTTTGCTTTTTGAGTCTAGGGCTGAACCTGCTCCTTTGACTAAGAGTACATTCACTTCTGCAATCTGTTCCATCTGCTTCATTCACTGCACACATACCCTTTAGTATGAGAACCAGGGTGGGCCTACCTTCTTCCCATATCCAGAAGACAGCAGCAGTGAACATCAGGATGGCCGAGACACACACCAGCCCATGGATGAATACGATAAGCCATCTCCACAGCTCTCCCGCTATGAAAGCAACAGATACATTAGTGAGTGACATCACCACCCCCATCACCAGTGATCCTGCTCTACAACATGGTGTCCTCCATCCAAGATCATGGTCCATGATCATGTAGAGCAAAATGGCATCCTCCACACAGCATGACCTTGCACGCACTGTACATGCAAGGTCATGCTGCATGGAAGATGCCATTTTGTAGAGCACATATATCCATATGTGGCCCGTGGAGGTGCCCCAAAACTAGCATCTGGCCAAAAGCACTGAAAAGTTTGGATCAGATTCTAAAATAAGGCAAAACCTTGCAGCTCAGAAGAGATCCCCTTTATCAAAGGGATGAATGGAGATAGTTCAGTATACACACACACAAGAGGAGAGTGGTGCTAGTTAATATTAAAAAGAACTTCTATAACTAATTAGGCCTGTGTTAATATATTGCCTAATCTATTAGTCAGTTATAGGAGAATTAAAGGGGAAAGGACCTTAAAATATTGCTGTGCCCATGCCTCTCACTTTGTAAAGAAGTGAGGACATAGTTATATCCTAGTATGCGTGTAATTAAAAAGAAATCTGGAAGTGGGGCAGGTTTAGGGGACCTCCATGCCATACTAGGAATAAGCTCTGTATTTTGTTAAGAGGCCTGAGAGGCCTGGGGTGAAAGTTGCCTCATACCAGCATGAGGTGGAGTAGCCCACCTGCTAAAGAGAAACCCAGACAAGTTTGATACTAAAATGAGCTGGGAAAGAGAGGAAGGGAGAGAAAGGAAAGGCTGATCAGTATTTAAGGTAAGTTAAACCAACGGGGTTGGGTGGACGGGGCACTGGCATGGGAGTCATAATAAAAAGGCCTCATCAGAAGATCTCAAAGCACTTTACCAAGGAGATCCATATCATCATCATAAGAAAGCAGCATAGGTTCTATTGACATCAATAGGAGCTGCTGGCTGCTCTGCACTAATGAAAGAAAATCGGGTCACTCATTTAGGTGCATCCACATGGATTTCAGACCCTAGCATTAGGAACCCAGGTTGGGAAATGTTGGCCTTGGAATACTGAAGATACCCAGGAGCTTTGGAATTTCTCAGAGAAATCTAATCAGATGTGAACGTGAAAACTGACATATAGTGAAGATAACTGAAGTATCCTGGTACAGGCGTATACAGTACCATCAGTTACTGCCAGAAGACCACATACCTTTTTGCTTTCAACTCTACTCCGTCACCTACGTTTTCATACACGGAAGAAATTAAGCACATTTTAGGTTTACTTGCAATTTACACGCTGTCAAAGATTGAAGGGAAATGAGCTGAAATACTTACTAATTTTTTTCTTTTCTGATTGACAGCACAAGATAATGAAGCCCAATCCAGATCCAGCAGCCAATGTTGTTGCAATAGCAAGAGCAACAGTAGAAATTTTCAGTGCATGCTTTAGTGAAGGCATGATACCTACAATATGGACACACAAATCCAAACCATCACTCGAAAGATGAGAGCAGAAAGGGCTCAGGAGGACTGAAAGCTGTTCTGTTTTCCCTGCTTTTTCTTTCTGCTTGAAGGATAGTGTAAGTGTAACACTGACAGACCCTGGTTGTCAGCAGGCAGGATTGAACCTGGGACCTCTGGAGCTTAGTGCATGAGCTAGAAGCCATATGGCTGTTAGCTAAGGCTGTAGAACAGGCTCATTAATCTTTCTGTAAGTGGTCTTGGTGCCACTAGATGGGACAGAACACCCCACCCAGAAGGTGTGTGGGTTACATAAGTACAATTTCCTTTCTGTCTGCAGTTCAGATCAGTGTCCCAAAGACTAAAATGGGGATGAACCTTCTCGCTGGGATTTGAGATACAATGAAAAGTAAGCCCCATGGGCAGCACTCTGGTTCTATGACTAGAGCTCCTAGGCACTACAGTAATACAAATGAATAATAATTAATAAAGCAGTTGTGAAACTTGGACACCTGGTAGGGGGTGCAAAGCTTTCAAACCTATGTAGCTATGTTGAGATCTTAATGTAGAATTTCCTCTGAAGATTCCCTAAGTCCTGCCTTAGGCTGCTGAGTGTTCAGAATGAGAAATGAGCCAGAATTAACTGGATCCACTGTGAAGGAAGATGCCTGGTACTAGTGAAGGTTCTGTTATGCTGATTGTGATGATCTGAGTGTTAAGATGAAGTGCCAAACCTGATGCTTACCAGTGCCACATGTTACTCATTTCTCCAAACTTTTCCAGTTTGCCAAAAAGTTTTTTTTTTAATTACCATGTCACTTGTGTCTCTAAATCACTTTGATGCTGTAGCTTTGTCAGGGTTAAAATGTGCCACTACTACTCATTAAGTCAGACCTTACTCCACAAATAGCCTGTGCTCAACTTTACAAGCCTGGGTTGCTAAAATTAGGCACCTAAATCCATATTATGGCAATAAAAAGTGGGGGTTTTAAATATACGGAGCATCCGCTGCTCCCTTGGCAACCAAGGGAGCAATGGATTCTCAGACCCACTGACAATCATAGGCGGCGAGTTATATGGGCCCGTGGTACCCATGCTCTACCTGTATTTAGGAACATGAGCCCGGCTCCACCAATGTTTGGGCTTACCATGCTTTGGGGGACCCTATGAGTTCAGGGCAGCCTGGGAGGTTGGTGGGGGGCCTAGCAGCAGCGAGCAACCTGGTGCCAGCAAGCGACCCGGCCCCAGCCTTCCCTGCTCTGCTCCAAGCCGCCAGGTCCTGCCATCGCTTGGTGGAGGGGGCAGAAGCTGGAAAGAGGTGGGTGGGGCTTGTGGTAAGGGGTGGAATGGGGGCAGGAAGGGGACAAAGCAGGGGCGGGCTGGAGCTGGGTCACTCGCTGCTGCTGGTGCCAGGCTCCCTGCTAACCCCCCAGGCCACCCTGGACCCCTGTGTCCCCCCGAAGTGCAGGGCCCCCCAAAGCACGGGTCCTGGGACGGTTGCTCTGGTCTGTCCTATGGACGGGACAGCTCTGCTTGGACCCATTCTGGGCACCACCAAAAATTATACAAACCTGGCGCCATGCTGACAATCAATCACTTGATTTAGGTGTTTAGATATGGATTTAGGGCCTAGATTCACAAAGGTATTAGTTTACTAAATCCCAGATTTAGGGGCCTAAGTCCTAGTTTTAGGCTCCCTTACGGCCCACAAAACTCCCCCTGAACCCTGTAGACACTTAAATTCCCTTGGCACCTACATTTTCATGGTCAAAATACCCTGGATGCCTAAGTTTCTGCCTCTGGGAACACGCACGAGTGCCGCCTCCTAGTCATCCAGGTGCCTGTCTTCCACCGCAACTCCAGTGGGATTCACGAGCCAGGGAAGTTAGGTGTTTTCCCACCTAACTCACTGTGGGGCCCAAACATGTTGGTGTGCTCTGAGTCTGCCTAACAGATTGGGTTCTGTTCAAAATCTGTCTTTAGGAAGAGGTGGTGCTACCCACCTTGTAACTTTTAGCCCAGTGGTTCAATCCCCCCTCAAGCAGAGAGAGGATTTGAACAGGGGTCTCCCACCTCTGCGTGCTCTGTCATTCTCTCCTGTTGGAACTGTTCCCATTCTCTCCTATTGGAACTGTTCCACTGTGATTAGACATTTAGAGTCACTGGACCAGAGAGAGTGAGAGAGAATGACTGTAACTCTGGAGCCTGGTGGTTAGAGGTGACAGACCCAGGATCCACTCCCCCTGCTCCAATAAGTCCAGGAGAGGGGTTCCCAGCTGGAAATCACAAGCAGGGCTTGGTGCCTCCCTGTAGCCTGGACTTAGGTGCTTATGTCTGTGAGAGGGGAGAGACTTAGAGGAGCCTCCTCTTGTTGGCATATTCCAGTGGTTAGCTTTGGTGGCTCCCCTCCTACCGTGCTGGCTTTTGTGAATTGGATTGAGTGCACATCTTTCCCCATCCATTGTATAGGGAGATGACATGCCTAATGCAGGCTGTGTATGTGTCTCGGTGTTTTGTTCCTGTGATTTCACTAGGGGTCTAAAAGCTATGCATTGTGACGCTGAGTGTTACAACACCTCATCCCTTTGTGAATCTAAGGGTATGTCTACACTATGGGATTATTCCGATTTTCTAGAAACCGGTTTTTGGCAACAGATTGTGTAAAGTTGAATGTATGTGGCCACACTAAGCACATTAATTCGGCGGTGTGCGTCCATGTACTGGGGCTAGTGTCGATTTCCGGAGCGTTGCACTGTGGGTAGCTATCCCATAGTTCCCACAGTCTCCTCCGCCCATTGGAATTCTGGTTTGAGATCCCAATGCCTGATGGGGCCAAAAACATTGTCGCGGGTGGTTCTGGGTACATCCTCCCCCTCCCTCCGGGAAAGCAACGGCAGACAACCGTTTCGCGCCTTTTTCCTGGGTGAACAGTGCAGACGCCATACCGCGGCAAGCATGGAGCCCGCTCAGCTCAAGAAAGCAGTCATGAACATTGTAAACACTTCGCGCGTTATCGTGCAGTTTATGCTGAACCAGAACCTGCAAAACCAGGTGACGAGGAGTAGGCTACGGCAGCGCGGCGACGAGAGTGATGAGGACATGGAACATGGAATTCTATCAAACCGCGGGCCCCGGCGCATTGGAGATCATGCTGTTAATGGGGCAGGTTCATGCCGTGGAACGCCGATTCTGGGCCCGGAAAACAAGCACAGACTGGTGGGACCGCATAGTGTTGCAGGTGTGGGACGATTCCCAGTGGCTGCGAAACTTTCGCATGCGTAAGGGCACTTTCATGGAACGTTGTGACTTGCTTTCCCCTGCCCTGAAGCGCCAGAATACCAAGATGAGAGCAGCCCTCACAGTTGAGAAGCGAGTGGCGATAGCCCTGTGGAAGCTTGCAACGCCAGACAGCTACCGGTCAGTCGGGAATCAATTTGGAGTGGGCAAATCTACTGTGGGGGCTGCTCTGATGCAAGTAGCCAAAGCAATCACTGAGCTGCTGCTACCAACGGTAGTGATTCTGAGAAACGTGCAGGTCATAGTGGATGGCTTTGCTGCAATGGGATTCCCTAACTCTGGTGGGGCAATAGATGGAACCCATATCCCTATCTTGGCACCGGAGCACCAGGGCAGCCAGTACGTAAACCGCAAGGGGTACTTTTCAATGGTGCTGCAAGCACTGGTGGATCACAAGGGACGTTTCACCAACATCAACGTGGGATGGCCGGGAAGGGTTCATGACGCTCGTGTCTTCAGGAACACTACTCTGTTTAAACGGCTGCAGCAAGGGACTTACTTCCCAGACCAGAAAATAACAGTTGGGGATGTTGAAATGCCTATAGTTATCCTTGGGGACCCAGCCTACCCCTTAATGCCATGGCTCATGAAGCCATACACAGTCAGCCTGGACAGTAGTCAGGAGCTGTTCAACTACAGGCTGAGCAAGTGCAGAATGGTGGTAGAATGTGCATTTGGACGTTTAAAAGGTCGCTGGCGCACTTTACTGACTCGCTCAGACCTCAGCCAAACCAATATTCCCATTGTTATTGCTGCTTGCTGTGTGCTCCACAATCTCTGTGAGAGTAAGGGGGAGACCTTTATGGCGGGGTGGGAGGCTGAGGCAAATCGCCCAGCCGCTGATTACGTGCAGCCAGACACCAGGGCGATTAGAAGAGCACACCAGGAAGCGCTGCGCATCAGAGAAGCTTTGAAAACCAGTTTCATGACTGGCCAGGCTACCGTGTGAACATTCTGTTTGTTTCTCCTTGATGAAAACCCACCCCCTTGATTGACTCGTTCTTTGTAAGCAATCCACCCTCCCCCTTCGATCCCAGCTTGCTTTCAAAGGAAATAAAGTCACTATCGTTTAAAAATCATGCATTCTTTATTAATTGATTATAAAAAGAGGGAGAGAACTGACAAGGTAGCCCGGGTGGGGTTTGGGAAGAGGATAGGAGGGAAGGAAAAGGCCACTAAAAAGTTCAAAGTAATGACAGCCTTTTGGTTGGGCTGTCCACTGGGGTGGAGTGGGAGGGTGCACGGAGCATCCCCCCCCCCGTTCTTACACGTCTGGGTGAGGAGGCTATGGAACATGGTGAGGGGGGAGGGAGGATATACAGCGGCTGCAGCGACACTCTGCTCCTGCTGCCGTTCCTGAAGCTCCACCAGACGCTGGAGCATGTCCGTTTGATCACGCAGCAGCCCCAGCGTTGCAGCCTGCCACCTCTCATCTCGAGCGTCCCTCGTGGCCTCACGTTCACTGGCATCTTTCCTGTACTTTGCTACCATGTCCTTCCACTCATTCAGATGAGCTCTTTCATTGCGGGTGGATTCCATGATTTCTGAGAACATTTCGTCTCGCGTCCTCTTTTTTTCGACGCCTTATCTGAGATAGCCTTCGGGACGGAGGAGGGAGACTTGAAAAATTTGCAGCTGCAGGAGGGAGGGAAAAAAAGTAGAGAAGTATTTAAAAAGATACATTTTACAGAACAATGCTTATACTCTTTCACGGTGAACAACACTATTCACTTTACCTAGCACACGTGATTTCGGTACAAGGTCGCATTTTGATCTTAATATTGAGTGCCTGCAGTTTTGGTGTTAGAGAACACAGATGCAGGTCCGGGCAACAGAATTCGGCTTGCATTGCGGCCATGGTAAGCCATTGTCTTTCGGCTTCTGCAGCTTTCCTACAAGCAGCGCCCTCCTTTCCCACATACCAAGCAAAGACCGTTGAGTGCTGCGGTTTTCCTGTTAACGTGCAGCAGCAGAAACCAAACTA